CCGCGCCAGCTCACCCCACACCCTCCCCCACGCACCTGAAGATTTTGCACCGGCAATGGCTGAGGCCCCTGACAGATTGTGCCAGGATGTGCCCGGCTGAGGGTGCGGCGACGAAAAGAGCCCGGAACGGACCCAAGAAAATTCGACAGGCCCTGCCCAAGACCTGGGAAAGAGGTCTGGAACAGAGCTGACCCAACATAAAGGGAAAGGCTCTGTCCAAAATAGTCGTGAGAGAGACCGTGTCTGGGCCGGAGGGGGATTCACTCATAGGGAACCATACACATCATCCTCAACAAACGCGGAGGTCGGGGGGAGGTCGGGCGGCAAAAGACGAATCAGTGCGGTTCTTCTCAGACGGTGATGCGCCTGGCTAGGCATGCCCTGGACCTCGGCTGCTATTTCCGGGAAGGTGCCAAACTCAGAGTGACTCGCGAGGAGGTCAATGATGTCCGTACTTGGGAATAATAGAGGGGTCGGTGCCATATAATATATACCTACTATAGAGGGGTTGGTGCCATCCATATACCTATTGGTTGTACACTTGAGGGTATCATAGGGTATCCCCTCTTTTAATCAATCAACCAAGGCCGTAAAAGGCCAACTATGGAGGAGGTGGCGAAGGTTTCTCTTGCTGGGAGGGAACGACTGGCGACTCACAACCGAGGATTTGGAAGAGGATTCTCGCAAATCTCCCACACCATCCATGTGACGGGCCAGGGGTGGTTTGCGGGGTTAGGTATTAGATGCATGGTCTGGGACTGATTGAATTCAACGGAAGTCTGGGGGGCGTAGGGCTGTGCCACCGTGGAGATCTGTGGAGATGCGCTGGGCGCTGCAGCGGCAAATACCTTTTGCATCCTTTTGCTATCTGTCGCTGATGTAATTGTTCTGTTTTTGAACCAGGCAGCCGCATGATGCCACCTGATCAGGAAAATAGATGCATATATTACAATGAAAATGTAGGGCACACATATGATGGAATGCCTATATATGGTATGGCATGGCAAGTTGGAATGTGGTGGACCAATGGAGAATGGAAGATATTGACTGCACAAGTTCTTCCAACGCTACCCGACAAAATTAAACACACACACACACAAACTGCGTATAAACTATCGCAAACCGATACAAACGACTGGTGCCAGCTGACATGTCAAGACTTGCCAGCTGATGATGAAGCCATCTAACTCACTGGACATATCAACGTATCGGATGTAGCTGACCAGTTGGATCGAGGCCACGTAGATGGGAGCCTGTGGGCTCCGTTCCAAGCGAATTCCAAACGTCAGTGAGAGTGTTGACCGTTCATCCGCATTGCTTGCGGAGCGCATCCGTCCTCTGCTAATGCAATGCACTGCCGCGGTGCAGCTGGTGCGGCCTTCTCAAGACCAGCTTTCTGGGGCACCTGAAAAAACGGCTTTCTGTTGGAGGCTTTTCGGTGCAGTGGAGGAAGGACCTGGATATATACTTGTAGTGGATTGAGAGGAGTAGATGGCACAAACCCCAAGTAAGAGGTGTTTCTTCTTTTTTGGACCCCCATCTGTCGGACGGACATCGAACGGGGTGCCAGTGCCATTTCTCACCTCTGAAACCACCCTGAGGATCCGATATTGAAAAAAAAACAATCTTACGATTGGTCCCACAATTTTTTCAATAATATTGAAAACGGTCAACTTGGAAGCCAAAAAATCAATATCATGATCAATATAATATTGGTCATGATATTGGTCGATATTGGTCAATATTGGTTTCAAATATTGATCATGATATTGATCATGATATTGGTCATGATATTGGTCAATATTGATCGTGGAGATCCTGTGGAGTTCCTGTGGATTTCCTGTGGAGTTTAGAATCCTGTGGAGATCCTGTGGAGTTCCTTTTGACATTGATATTGGTCTTGATATTGATCATGATATTGGTCGGTGTTTTTTTAAATCTTCAGTCTTCAATATTGAAAAAAAAACAATCCTGCGATTAACAAGTTCAATATTATTGAAAACTTTTTGCGATATTGATGTTTTGCAATATCGGATCCTCAGGGCACTGCAAAACTGAATGTTCAGCGGTTGCATGCGGTCGCACATGGCGGAACTGAACCAGGAAGGTCCTACCAGTTCCTCACTGGTCCGGACACCAAGCCCAGCGTCTGCCACCAAAGCACTGGTTCCTGCGTCGAATGCCCAGTGCGCCAGTGGCGGTATGTTTGCATTGCTTGTCGATCCAAGCAAAAGGTGGCCGAGGACTTGAACCGCACCAGGAAGTTGGGTCTCGCTTTGGACAAGGAATGAAGCACACATCGGTAGTTGATCTTGTTCCATTTTGGTCAGCCCCGCACGAGCAGGGCATTCAGTGACAGCGTGCGTTTCTTGGAGGCCGCCAGCTGGGTCCTTTGGGACTCACACAGCGAAGAGTGGGAAGGGGGGTCAAAAACGAAGACTTGGGGTCTGTGTCATCATGCGAAGAGTTGGGAGTTTGGAAGACTGCACTGCAAGGTCTAGTTTTCATGGGGGTTTCTCCCTGTCCCACTGACTTGGGGATGATATGCACATGTCTCCCAAACCTATCCATCTCTCCCAAACCTCAGGTCACGGTCCAAATCCCTACACTCCCAAACCTCAATACTCATGATTACGTGGATGACCAACGACCCCTCATGCACGGATGGTTCGGACCAAATCAGAACACCAAAGAGGTGAGAACGTACTTCCATTGATGATTTCAGGGACTGTGATTTCCTTTTGATTTCACTGGCCTCTGGTACCCCACATCTGTGGAAGGGCCACCGTGAGGAAAGCAACCGTTTGGATCGATCCGCGATGTTGCGGCAGACCAATCACCCACGGAATGCCGCCCAGATGCGCCAGAAGGCCTCAGTTCGCGCCCAGATGCGCCGCGAAGCAGTTCAAAAAAAGCATGGTGTTCCAACGGACTTGCGACTGAGTCAGATGATGGCTGCAAACACCCAAATGACCGAGGTGTGCAAGAAGAGACCAGCTGGGGGGGCTGGGGAATGTTCGGTGGCCGTCCTTGGAACTCATGGAAATCTTCACAACAATTGACATGACTTCCAGGTGACTGTGTACTGACCTTGTGATTTCGATCCAATGCTGGTGGAGACTGACCCGGCATCAGCCTATCCGACAATAAAAAACACCAGGTTTGGCCAAAACGACATGTCTTCACGTGGATTGAACACAAACAAGTTTGGCCAAAGTTCTTGACTTCACATTTATTGAAAGAAGTGGCCAATTAAGTGGCGCAGGTCTGCACACTTACTTCAAAGGAGTAAATTCAAGACCTGGTAAGGCAAGCCGCTTCGACAAGGTAGGTCAGTTCGTTGTTCTCCCTCTATGCTTATGTCTTCGGAGAAACTAGCCAAGAACATGTCCAAACTGCTGGCCATCTAAAGACCGCTCATCTGGGCACTGGCAGCCATTGGCGGGTGAACGATGAACTTGCTTCATGTTCTTTGGTCTTTTAAATCCGCCTGCCATCCGACAGGCAG